GAAGATACAAAAGCAAACCCAAAGCAATAATCAAAGCTTTGTAAGGACATTTAACATGCACTCTCGAGCTTTGCACATATCCTCTAATGGCTTGACTTTAGGCATTTTAAGACCTGTTCCTTCTGTCAAGTCCACTTCCTCTTCACTAATTCTCTCCCACTCAAAGCACTGAATTAAAGTGGCTAATGCTAATCCCATTACTCTATTGGCAAGGCCAGCTCTAGGGCAGGATCTTCTTCCTTGACCAAATGGTATGAAGTTATATGCCTCAACTTCACCTTCCAATCCTTCAAACCTCTCTGGTCTGAAACTTTCAGGGTCCTCCCACACCTTGGGATCTCTATGAATGGTCCATGCATTAACGATCAACATTGTTGATGGTGGTATATCATACCCTCCAATTGTGCAGTAATCGGATGATTCATGTGGGACTAGAAGTGGTGCTGCTGGAAAAAGCCGAAGAGTTTCATTGATTATGCACTGGAGGTAAGGCAACTTGACCAAATCAGTTTCTTCTGCTAAACGGTCATGACCAACATGATGGTCAAGCTCAACTCTGGCTTTCTTTAGCACAACATGATGGTTGAGGAGAAGTGACATAGCCCATTCTGCAGTCACCGAGGTTGTGTCTGTTCCCGCAACTAGCAATGTCTGTTAGAATTACCCGCACTTAAGATCTATCAACGCAATAAAATGTGGATTTTAATTTTGATTACTTAAGCATATACAATTTAAGATTCAATCCTAGAAAGTGACTGAAGAATTGATAAATTTAACAAGATAAGAACAACAGAAACTCTTTATAGGTGCAGGACCATGTAAAGGTTCCATTTTCTTTGTGTCATGCTTGAGGAAGACACCAGTTTACTTATCGAAGTCTATCTAAATATTTAAGTAGAAACAGAGAAGATAAGACATACCATTATCATGCCTTTGATAATTTCATCAGTGTAGTATTCAGGTTCGGAGTCTTGTAAAGACAGCATAGAATCGATTATCGTCTTAAGTCTTGCTCCTTCACCTGAAGAATTCCTTGTGTTTCGATGCTCATCAATCAAACTCTGCATGAACCTATCAGAATTTTTATGCAGTCTTATTATTCTCTTTTTGTAGCTCTTGTAATCCACCCATCGCAAAAAAGGTAAGAAATCTCCTGGATTTGATGCTCCACTGGCATCAAAAATGTCCCTTACGATTTTTAGAACGCGTTTAGACTCCTCTGGATCATCAACTTCTTCCCCAAAATATCTTTTTCCAGAAACCATCCTCATAATGATGTTAAAAGACAGTTCTGATAACTTTGAATTCATCTCCACTTTGGTGAAACTTTGGCATGAACTGTGATAAAGATTTTTAAGTAAGAATCTAACCTCATCCTTTCTAATTCCCAAAAACATGTTCAGCCGATTCGTTGAGAAGATGTCAAGTGCAGCAATTCGTCGTAGATTGCTCCAAAGAGGACCTTAAGTGGCAGCGCCCATTGCCGTGTAGTCATAGTTTAAGTACTTGCCAGAAATAAGACGAGGCCTATTGGCAAAGAGAATATCATTTTTAGAAAAGCATTCTTCGGTGGCAGATGGAGAGGATATGAGTAGCACACGACGGTTTCCAAAGTAAAGATTTACGATTGGACCATATTTGTTTGATAGCATCTGTAATGATCTATGGATGGGTTCTTTCACTAGATGGAGATGGCCAATTATGGGAAGTGATGTTGGGGTTGGAGGTCGATTCTTATATCGTGTTTGTTTCCATAGAAAACTCTTCAGAATAAGAAAAAAAAGCAAGCATGATGCCGAAACGATGACTAACCATGATAGTTCTTCCATGAGCTTGAATTGGCCACTCCAATAATCTATAAAGGAATAATGACGGAGAATGGACATACCCTTCACATCAATATAGTATTATATGACTTTTGGGCTTTTGTGTCCGCCATCTTTTGGCAAAAAGGACTCTAGCCGCAAAAATTTATCGTTTTACAGAGAGATGGATTAATTTGCCTTGCTTCCCAAGACGGCCATTAATGTCCATTGTCTGCTTGCCATTGTCTTGTGTGTTCACTCATCAAAACAGCAGTATGGTAGATTTAGTAACCACTCACAAATCACCAAGTTCAAGAATAGTTAATGTATGGAGCCCCATTTTTTATTTTATTTATTTTTATAAATTATTGCCATACATTCCAATAATATCTTGATTCTTGATTGAGACGCTTTCTTTTTTGTGTTCTGGGAGAATAATTTCTTTTTAACATGTATTTTTACGATTAATATGATTAGTAGTTATTAAATTTAATATTTTATAGTTTTTTTAAAGTATAATCTTTAATTTCGCTATGACGTCTCATTAAGAAAATCATTAAGTGAAATAATAAAAGGTATTTTCATCTCTAGAATGTCTACAATGACTACATCAATAGAGGATTGACGATCCCTAAATACTATTGAAATGTATATCACAATTCACAATATTGAAAAACTTCCACTTAATTACGTAAGAGACACGATTCTTAAAAAATGGCAGACACTTTTACAATATTTCTTAGAGTTGATGATATTAATCCTTGAGATATGATCTATTAACAAAAATGAATTGTAGAAAGACAATTTGATAATATTTATTAACTCAGTATAAATTTTAACAATTTATTGACAGTTTATTAACGACATGAAAATTTCTGTTAATTTGGACATCTCAAGAAAATTTTTCACTATGTTTGGCTTATTATTTTTATCCAGATTCTGGATCCTATTCTCCAAATAATGTTTGGCACATTATTCCAAGAATATTACCTTATTTTTTAATTATTTTTAGACCCCATAAGGTTATTAATTTCATCAAATACACCCTAAAAAAAAGTTTAAAAATTATCAAAAACACCCCCGCAACCCATACTCGCCAGATTCCGGCAACCACCGTCGGTGGTAGCCGAAATCTATACAACGGCCAATCTGCCGACCATAAATGGTCGGAAGTTCACCGATCTGGCCTTTTCCGGCCTGATCCACCACAGATTTGGCCGGAAAAGGCCAGATCTGGCCGTGAATGACGGCCAAAGAAATGGCCGTCCTTGAGGTCAATGACGGCCAAATCTTGGCCATCGTTGACCGAAAACGACGGCCATATCTTTGGCCGTCGTTTTGGCCTTTTTCGACCGTCGACGGCCACGGCAGGCCGTAGATCTGGCCTTTTCCGGCCAGATCTGTGGTGGATCTGGCCGGAAAAGGCCATAACGACTCGTTACGACACAGATCCGACCGGTCTGTGTCGTAAAGCGATTTTCCGACCAAATTCCGGCGGTGGTGGCCAGAATTTGGCACTGCAGGTGGTGGGGGTATTTTTGTCAATTTACATGTTGGGGTATTTATGAAATTAGCAAACTTAGGGGGTTTTCTATAAATTTTTAAATTTTACCTCGTAATACTCCCATATTCAATTATCCAATACTATCCCCAAAATCCTACCCAAAATAATAAAACAAACGCACCCTTTGTTATTATATCATATCTCAAGGGGATTAATGTCATTAACTCTAAAATTAATGACAGTGAATGACATTAATCCCTCTCAAGTATGATATAATAATAAAAATCCTCTGCAGTTAAGTTTTATGTGTTAAAATAAACAGTAAGAGGATAATTTAAAAATATTTACTAACTTATAATAGTATAAGTTCTAACGGCTCATTAACAATCCGTTAATGGTAAGAGAATTTTTGTTATTTCAAAAACTTCAAAAAGATTTTTGTTATTGTATTATATCTTGGGGAGCAGTATCGTCATTAGCTTTTTATTTTAACACAAAAATTTATCGTAAGGAGATTATTTTTTTAATAATTAGATCCACAACCTTCTCTTACAACTTCCGACATTGCAGCTCATCATTGGGTAGCTTGCAAATGGACAGACGAGACGCATACAAGTAGACAGGACCCATTTTGCAAGTTGACTAATAACGAGTTGTCAAGTCAAAAGTTGTGAATTAGATTGTGAACTTAGCATTACTCTATTTTTTTTACTACAACCTTAATTAGTTGAAGTTTTGTTATTCAATTAAGGGTGTGTTTGTTTTAATGTTTTGGATAGTATTTTTAAAAAAGTAAGAGTTGGGTGGTAATAACGGCGTAAGATTTCAAAATTAACAAAAACACCCCTTAGGTTTGTTAATTTTTAAACACCCCTGTAATAAAAATATTAAAATTACAAAAACACCCCTACCCACTCATTAAATACCAACAGTTGGCCACCACCGCCGGAAGGTGGCCGAAGTCGCGGTATTTGTGCACGACTGGTTGGATCTGGCCGGTCGTGCTCCAAGATGGCATTTTTCAGCCAAATCCATGACCAAATCTAGTTGGGTTTGGTTGTCAACGACGACTAAGTATCTGACGGCCAGATCTTTGCTTGTAGATTTGGCCTTTTCTAGCTAGATCCACAGTGGCTCTAGCTAGAAAAGATTATATCGGCGCACTATCAGCCAAATCTAATCTAGTCGGTAGTGCGTCATTATGGCAGATTCTGGCCACTTTTTGATGGTGGTGACCAGAATCTGGCAAATGTGGGTTTGTGAGGGTGCTTTTATCAATTTTTAAACTTTTTTTTTTTAGATGTTTAGTTAAATTAATAAATCTAAGGCTTTAAACGTAGTTGAATAAAATAGATTATGATTTTTATAACAGGAAACAAATATGTATTTTCAGAATTATAGAACTAAGATAATGTAAAAATATTAAAACAAACAAAGCCTAAAGTATTAAACATAGAATTATTTTTTATTAACCCGTAAATCTATACCGGGTCCAAAATTAACACCCTGCCGTCTGATTATTTGATTTGATTTCATTTTTAACGATCTCGATTATCTTCTTAGCATAGGGACGCACGCAGCGGATTTCTCTCCTTTCCCTCCATTATCAATAATTCCAAATAATTAAAACCCCAAAAAAAACCCACTCAACACATGTCACAACCTACGCACGGTTACACAGAGTATACGTGCACCCTGTCCCTGCCACTCCCTCTTTTTATCGAACACTGCCAGTCTGCCCTTAAACCTCTCAGTTTCACTCTCTCTTTAAAACCCTAATCCTCTCTCTCTAAAAATGATGAAACTTTCTCGCTCTCTGCTTCGCTCCAGGTATCTTCTTCAAACCTCAAACTCTAGCCTAATCGAAAACCAATTTTTTTCTTTTTATTTGTTTTCTCGAGAAAGTGGTTTTATTTCTGTTTGGTTGCCGAGAAACCGTAGGAAATGAGTTAGAAAATGTAAAATTTGATTTTAAATTGAAGTTTATTTTTTTACTGTTTTGAGAAAGGAAGTAGCTACATTTCGTCGGTTGAAATAAAAACTCGAATATTGTGTTTATTTCGGTTAGAAAATGAACAGTTAGAAGCTTATAAAGCTTCTTCACTGGTTTATCATAGTCAAATAGGTTTATTTTAAATTGAGGGATAGCGAGAGAAATTTAGCAAAACATTGAGAATTTGTTCGATATAGAAATGAAATGAAGGTTTTTTTTTTTTCCCTCCAAAATATAAATTTTATAAATAAACCCCTTTTCAAAAACAGATTTCGATACAATTCTAAAAACAAGCTTTCCGACATAAATGGTTTTTCGGGTATCCTAAGTGAGTATATTACCATGTATTTGAAGTGATTGTTTATAGACTTTATTATGTCCGCTTGTGAGAGTACTGCCTTCTTTTAATTGCTAATGGCACATACCTTCTTTACGATTGTTGGAAGCCTTATATCGAAGCTATGAAAATTACAGGCTTTATCGTTCTTTCACTTGCATTGATGACTTCAGTGTAACCTCAAAAGTTCAAAATCTAGGACTTTGTAAGCGTCCTTAAGTTAGTATATTTGATTTTAATCTAGCTTTTTCTAATTTTTGGTGATATGAAGGGAATAAATTATAGTCCAATTTTGCACACGTCCCCTCTACACACATATATATATGGAAGTGAAAATAGCTTCTATCCTAAGTTTTATAAGGATATGTGATCTAACATTCTAAAGTTTATTCTTGATTTTCTTTTCTGAGGCAGGAAACTGTCTTCTGATAAATTGTTTGCTGGAAAAGCTGATGATGTAGGAGATGCTTTATGGTCAAAGTCTTACTCATCTCTTGCTAGCTTGTCAACTGCAAGACAGAATGTTGGTGCGAAAGGTATTTAATGGTTTTGATAGGCTCTGTTGGAGGATTGTTAAAGAAATTTTAGACTTTTCATAGTGTCAGTGATGATTATGTGTAGCATCTGTTCTTTTTCTGTACCTTAAACTTTGTAAGGAATTATGCAGGTCGAGTATTTGCTCCTTATTCTGTTTATAAGGGCAAAGCTGCACTTTCTGTCGATCCTGTTCTTCCAACTTTTGCTAAATTGGATGTATGGTTGAATCTTTCATCACTATCAATCTTTTTTGTGCATTTCTGTGTTAGGGGGTTCGTTAATGCTTTTCATTTATCTTTCATGTTTCACAGTCTGGGGATTTAAGAGTCCAGCGCAAAGGCGTCATTATGTTGACTTTTTGGCCTGCTATTGGTGAGCGCAAGTATGACTGGGCAAGGAAGCAGGTAATTTGAAATTGCATTTTGAATTCTTATTATGTGAAATTGTCAATCAATATATGAGCCACACAAACTATTCTCTTCCGCTGTAATGATTTATCTGTAGATTGTTGTACCTTTTAGCTATAATAGCACCCAGGAGACTCAACTGAGAATTTTTTTTTTTTAATAAATACATGCTCTCTCTTGCTTTTTCCATTATGTTGCTTTACTAACTGCTTTAGTTAATACTTTGTAGCATTTTGGTTTGTCACCGACAGAAGTTGGGTCTTTGATAAGCATGGGTCCCAAAGAGTCTTCTGAGTTCTTCCATGATCCTTCAATGCTATCAAGGTTCATGTCCTCTCATGCCACTTTTTTTTTCTTTTTTTTTTTTTGGTTGTGTTTCATTGTTGTTGGTGGACAAAAGGGGAGGTGATTTGATCTGGGCTTACTTTTTTCATGGGTTGTAGCTTTACTTTGGAAGAAAAATAACATTGTGATGAAAAGAAATTAGTGTTTAATATGGCATGTAGTGCCTTTTTTAATTTCTGAATGCCTTAAGTGTTTTTGACAAGCAATTCTTGCTGCAGCAATGCTGGTCAAGTGAGGAAGAGCTTATCAATTAAAGCACTTGCAGATGGCAATGGTTATTTCGTTTCTTTGAGTAAGCACTCTATCTGCAAACTAGCGGATGATATGAAATTAAAAATTTGCCTTTTCTTCTCTTACATATTTTTGTTTTTAACTGCATCTTACATCCTACATTTTTTTTCCTATAAGAACAAGTAATTTAATTTTTAAATTACAAATTGATTTTTATTTGTTTGAAACATTAATGTGTGGCTTTGTGGGTAGCTGTTTAATTTGCCTCATGTGGTTATGTTGTTATGCTATGAGCACAATGACAATGTTTTTGGTAAAATAAACAAATAATAACTGAATTTTTAATGGTAAAGATATTATTTGCTCATCAATAAAATTGTTCGTGAAAGATGGGTTGTAAATATGAGTTGATGTAACCCAATTAATTGACATTTTATTAATTGAACTTAAAGGAGAAGAAAGAAAGAGAAAATGGAAGAATTGTATCTTTATTGGATCTTTTTATACAAGTAATGTCCTTTTTTTCCTTCTAAAAAGCTATATTGTATAGAAACTTTGGGTAAACCTATTTGTGAATATGAGCCTACATTTAGAAAGTAAACTTGTATCCATGACATCAAGTTTATTTCCTGTTGAGTTGTTTAAGAATTTTATTTTTGTTGTATGATTATAATTCCTTGTATTATTTATCTTGCAAACAGGATTTTCAAAGTATTGTCAGGCCTACCACTCTTTACCTTTCTTTTTTGGAGTCCCTAATAAAATTCTAATTATTGCCTATACAATTTCTTTGCAGATGTCGTCAATAACCTTTTGAAAACCACTGAACGTTTTGTTGTTCCTGTAACAACTGCCGAATTCACTGTGATGAAGACTGCTTGCAGTGTATGATATCTCAATCTGTGGAATTTATATTATAGCCTATATTGTTTGTTTGGGTATTTAATTTTTTTTTTTACCAAAGTTCATAATCTAATATTGTTGATTAATCAAATCTTCCAACTGCTGCTAGCTTGATTTATCGCACGACATGACGTAAACATTGTTAGCTATTGATATTATTTTTCTTGCCCTAAGAGTCACATGTAAAACACACACTACGACACGTTGCTGTAGTTTGCTTTATTAGTTGTTTATCTAGCATTATTTGGTTCCAACAACTTGTTATTTGTATGCAGTTTGCATTGCCCCATCTCATGGGTTGGGATCGGTTAACTAATCCACTACCGGTGGCCAGCAATAAGAGTTCATCAAAGGTGGATCGAGAATCATTCGATTTAGAATGGGAACGATGAACTCGACTGATTTAAAGTACATGAGCGTGCTAAACAATGTGCTTTTGTTAATTGTTTGTATTATCTAAAACTTCTTTTCCCCTCTGTTGTAGTGTTCAGAGAGTATGTAATATTTTGTCTCCATGGATTCTTCTGTGTACTTGCAAGGATATTAGGGCTTGATTTTTCATTACCTATGTTAAGCCCACAAGCCCATTTATTCTTATTTTCTTGCCCACTTCTCCGTGCGGGTTCCCTGCCCCCATCCTTTTTGGTCGTTATCCCTGAAAATTGTCAACCGTGTTAAATTGGTATGATATTTTTGCTTAGGGAATAGAGTAAATGACATGTTGCCACCCAAGGTATTGGAAATCTGCAAGTTTCCACCTGTTTCATTTATTCTATATCACTGTTTTAAAACCCGGATTGGAGAGCAATCCGTCCTGTTGCTTGGGTCAAGGGTCAACCGGTCCAACCAGTTGGATCGGTGATGTCAACATAGAAAAAAAAAAACTCTTTTTTATTTTGTATTTTAAGATTTTCATTTTTTAATAAGACAATAATAACTTAAATATTCTCAAACATGATTTAAAGTTGAAATTCAATAATAATCCTAACATGATAGTAAAAATTGTTGCAAACAAAAGAATCATACTTAAGCATTAAAAACAAAATCACATTTAAGCATGACTAGCCACCTGAGTTGGTGTTCCTGACATTACTACATTCCTTGAAATACTCCTCCAATCACCCTTTCCAAATTTACTCAATCCAGCATGATTAGCCACCTGAATTGGTGTTCTTGACATCACTAAATTCCTTGAAATACTCCTTCAATCACCCTTTCCAAATTTACTCAATCCAATCAGAAATGACCTGTTACAAGAACCGCTGAAAATTAGCTATAGACAAAAATGACACAGGGCAGACAAAAGTTTGATAATTCATGTGTATACAACTCCTAGCTAGGGGTGAGTATAGGCAGTGGGTAGAACCGAAACCGGAACCTACCTGGAATTGACATTGTGCGGGTAGGTTCCGGTTCCATTTTATTAGAACCGATACTGTGCGATTCCGGTTCCGATTCTTGTGTGTGGAAGAATTGGAACCAAAACCAGAACCAGAATCTGGAAAAAGAACCTAAAACGGGTACCCTGTTTGGAACCTGTAGCGGGTACCCGGTTTAGAACCTGTTTGGAACCGATTTTTGGAACCTGTTTAGAACCTGGGCTACACTGAAATATTTGTGAAATATTAATAATGGGGGGTTTCTATTATTTTACATATAAAAAAAATTAAAATAGAAAAAGTTAAATTTTCAGAATAACGTAATTAAATAAATACATAATTATACTTATTACATATAAATTACACCATATTAAAAACTTTAATATATTATAATATATTAATATTAAAGTTTTAATTAATTAAATGAATAATTGGAATTGTGATCTAATTAAAAGTGTTTTAAATTTTTAATGTTATTAAAAGAATTATTTTTGAATAAAATAGTATATTTGATTGAATAATAATATATTTAGTTATTTACTTCAATTATCAAGTTCTAAGTATATCTATAGTAAATTAGCAATTAATTAATTATATATGATAAATTAATAAACATTAATAAATTTAATTACTAGTTAAATATCATACTTAATCAATTATAACATTACATTATAGTTAAATGATTACTTAATTAATTATAATTTTATAACATTACTTAATTGATTTATAGTATAATTAATTATAACATTATATTAATTAATTACTACTTAATTAATTGACTTATAAGTTATAACATTTAGTATATTACTTGATTAAATAATTAGAAATTTAATTAATTATAGCATTACATTATAAATTTATAGTATAATTATTTAATCAATTATAACATTTCATTATAAACATTAGTACAAACTTAATTAAATGATTAAAAATTTAATTAATTATAATATTACAATCAAGATTTATAGTATGATTACTTAATTCACTATAACATTACATTATAGGATGATTACATAATTAATTATAACATTACATAATTAAATGATTACTTAATTAATTATAATTTTATAACATTACTTAATTGATTTATAGTATAATTAATTATAACATTATATTAATTAATTACTACTTAATTAATTGACTTATAAGTTATAACATTTAGTATATTACTTAATTAAATAATTAAGAATTTAATTAATTATAACATTACATTATAGATTTATAGTATAATTATTTAATCAATTATAACATTTCATTATAAACATTAGTACAAACTTAATTAAATGGTTAAAAATTTAATTAATTATAATATTACATTAAAGATTTATAGTTTGATTATTTAATTCATTATAACATTACATTATAGTATGATCACATAATTAATTATAACATTACATTATAATTAAATGATTACTTAATTAATTACAATATTACTATATTACATTATAAACATTAGTAATTTATTACATTATTACATTACTTAATTAAATGATTAAAAATTTAATTAATTATAACATTACATTATAGATTTATAGTATAATTACTTAATTTATTGTGACATTTCAATATTTCATTATAGTATGATTACATAATTAATTATAACATTACATAATTAAATGATTATTTAATTAATTATGACATTATATTATAAACATTAATTATAACATTACATTATAAACAAATGATTACTTAATTAAATAATTAGAAATTTAATTAATTAAATATTACATTATAGTTAAATAATTACTTAATTAAATTATAACATTATTATATTACATTATATTATGATTACTTAATTAATTATTGTATTATATAGTTAAATGATTACTTAATTAGTTATAAATTTATAACATTACATTATAAACATTAGTAATTTATTACATTATTACATTACTTAATTAAATGATTAAAAATTTAATTAATTATAATATTACATTAAAGATTTATAGTATGATTACTTAATTCACTATAACATTTCATTATAGTATGATTACATAATTAATTATAACATTACATAATTAAATGATTACTTAATTGATTATGACATTATATTATAAATATTAGTAATTACTAATTTACTACATAAACATTAACACAATACTTAATTAAATGATTAGAAATTTAATTAATTACAATATTACATTATAAATTTATAGTATGATTACGTAATTAATTTTAACATTATATTATAATTAAATGATTACTTAATTAATTATAACATTCTACTATAAACAAATTAATTATAATATTATATTAAAGATTTATAGTATAATTACTTAATTTATTGTGACATTTCAATATTTCATTATTGTATGATTACATAATTAATTATAACATTATATAATTAGATGATTATTCAATTAATTATGACATTATATTATAAACATTAATTATAACATTACATTATATTATAACCACTTAATTAATTATTGTATTACATAGTTAAATAATTACTTAATTAGTTATAAATTTATAACATTATATTATAAATATTAGTAATTTATTACATTATTACATTACTTAATTAAATTATTAAAAATTTAATTAATTATAATATTACATTATAGTATGATCACATAATTAATTATAACATTACATAATTAAATAATTACTTAATTGATTATGAGTTATGACATTATATTATAAATATTAGTAATTACTAATTTACTACATAAATATTAGCACACACTACAAGAAAAACTATATTATGCAATCAATTTTTTAGTAACTAACTAGAATTAGCTGCAAAAAGTTACATTTACCAACTAAATTGCCATTGGTCGGGCAAAGAGCAACTCAATTTCGGTGTCCACACGTTCCAACTTTTGGCATCTAAAGTTAATGTTTTGCGACTATTTTATTAGTTGTAGAACAGATTGCTTTAGTGACTAATAAATTTAGTTGAAATTTTTGGCAGGCGATTTTTCCCTCCATAATTTGACAATTTGCATATAAAATATTATATTTTGCATCTACATTATTGGTTACAAAAAAACATTTTTTTGCAACTACCCCTTGGTAGCTAAATTAGTTGCGATTAATTAGGAATTTATTAGTAACTATTATGATTAGTTATAGAAAAATGAAATTACCAAAATATCCCATATTTGGATAATAATTACAAGGGCCCCAAGGTATTTTTAGCAACAAATGTTTGTCTTCATACTAACAGTAGTTGCAAAAAATTATATACAACAACTAAATTTGGTTTAGTTGCCAATTTAAGTTGAAAAATTCATGTTCCCCCCAAATTATTAGTTCCCGCCAAACTTCAATTATAGGCAACTATAACTAATTCTTTCCTGACTAAAAATTTAGTTACAAATTGATTTGTTTGCAAAATATAATTATATTTAAAAATTAAACAACAAATTAAAAGTCTTACTTTTTAAAGTTATTTACAGAAAACACTAACCTATATAAAGCAAGCCTTTCCCCAAATTCCTAATCTCTTCTCCACGCAAGTCCCTGGCGATTTCTCCAATAGAAGAAGTTTGAGTTGGTGCTCATTTGATGGATTGATGGACCACGTCAGACTTGGTATGTATTGTGTTAGGAAACTGGTAATGTACAATTATAGGTGATTTTGAGAAAGATGATGTGCTTTTCATACTGTTTTCTTGTTTACAGTAATTCGTGTAGTTGATTAGTTTTTTTTCATTTTTTTGGGTAATATCAATGTTGAGTTTCCCGTTATGTGAATGAATGGGCAGCATAGCTATTTTTCTGAGAAGAATATATAGGGCTCCTAAACGAAAATTTGATTAAGGGTTTTCCTCCAATTGTGTCAACTTTAGCAACATTTTGGGTTTGGTCTATGCGCTACTAAGTTGGTTGACATCTTGCAACTTTATAGTTAATTTCCTTTTGGTTGCTGAAGGCTAGTCATACTCCTTGTTGATCTCGGCGGTGTCTCTCTCAAAAGTACACATGCACTTGCTAGTCATTTATTTAAAGGCTTACGGTGGTCAAGGGAAAACCGCTTCCCTACTTCCACAAAAGAGTTTTATACCAATTTTTTTCATACACTCAATGTAGGACATGGTGGGTTGGTCAACAAAATGGAGTGAGGCACAGGGTTCCATCATGTTTTCTGTTATGGAACTATGTTTTAACTCCTTTAAACGAATCACATTCATATAGCATGGAACATATATTCCAAGGCATCATGCTTTGTTAGTGGCATGAAGAACAAGATGAATGTTGGATCTGATCTAAGAGGACTTTAAT